ATACACTTTATTTAATTACATGTTCAAAATGTAACATATGCCGCCTTCCATGACATAATATTCCAGTCTTTTACTTTACATTTCCACTTCTGTAAATCGAGTAATATGTTAATAAAAATATAATGTAATATATGTTTCGAATTCGTCTCGATGTCCTCTAAAGTTATGAATAAAAAAAAATGTATGTTCCTATTTAAGAAACCCAAGGTGACCTTGACTTTGCCAAGAGAACAAACTGTTTTCAAAATTTACTTTATTAATATCTATTGTGCACTTCATACCCTGCAAATTTTATTCTAAACTTTTTTTCGTAAGGTGGCTGCAAGTGGGAGAAAAATCGTGAGTAGCGTTACAGGTAACACCCTGTATATCAATATAAAAAAAATATTTTCATTTCACAATTATACTATTTCATTTAAAAATGAAATGTTAACCTTGAAATCTTCAATAACTTCTCATTAAAAAAAAATAGTATACTGTATTATGACTATTTCTTTATTTCTAAAAATAACGAAGATGGTTAAGATGATCAAAATTTGTGATTCATATGTCATCACTTATTTGATGAATACATATTTCTTAGAAAAGCGTACATCCAGAACTCCTAAACCGGGTATTTATCAAACGACCATTGTATATCAACATACCTTCCTAATAAAGGAACAATCCGAAATGATAATTTCTTATTTTAATTAAATTTATATAAGTTGCGGCTCTTGAAAAAATATTCGATGTAGACAGAAATTTTTCGCAATTTTACAATAAAACCAATTTTGTTTAAAGAGAGTGATTGTTTATAAACAAATGAGTGAATGAATAAATGAATGACTTTCCTTTTATGCGATGTATTGCATGTATGTCAATGTCACAAAATCTTAAAAGAACAAGAAAATATTTTTTCTTTGTAAAGGTGTACTGATTGTATCAAGTCAACTGAACAGAATTTATTTTTACACTTAATGTTTAAAACACATTTACTTTTTTAATTGGTGGCCATTCACGTTAAGAGGGTGAGAGAATCCGTTAAAGAGAATGATGAGAAATATATTTCATTGAATATCTTAAAAACTGTTACTGCTGAAGAATGGTGTAAATAGTAAAATTATATATTTTTTAATAAGGAGTTCATATGCGGATTTGAAAGAATTCTACTTATTTAAATATTTTAGAATAGCACATTTATGTACTGACCTTTTTTGTTTTGTAAAAAGATGATCTATGTTCTTATAAACTTGCGTACATAAAATATATAAAATATGTTCTAAAGTATAAAACACCCACTAATAAGTTTAATTTTTAGTCATTTTTGCATTATAAAGATGGTTACTGCAGTTTAAGACTATTCGCGCGTTATCATATGAAATTATGAAGTACGTATAATTAAACAGGTAGTGAGGTTTTATAACTTTTCAAATATTATTAACGTAAACAACTTTAAATAATCAAAATTTCCATTATCAGTTTAATTATGTTCGCGATGACTTCTACTTTAGAAAGAATCGGTAACGTGACAAGCATTCCTCACATTAGTCACTATAAAAACTTTTATTAAGGAAGGTGTTATGTTAGAATTATTCAAAATATTTACATGATACTAATGTCTTTTTTTGTAAATAATTGCAGTTTATAAATATTTATTAATATAGCACTTGCCCACATATCGTATGTAAAACTAAAATTTATGTTTATTCATATTCTATACTTTGATATAGATATATGTTTGTGTATATGGTTACAGAATCATAGATAATCCTTTTGTTAAAAAATTAGCAAAATAATACTATTTTTAAACATAATGTTTAACTAAATACAATTCCTTAAAATGTGTTTTCACACTTGGAATCTTTGATAATACAAATGATCCTACAGTTTGCACTATTCTTCCTATTCTAATAATTCTTAAAATATTCAACTAAATATATTATTCAGTCTTTACATTGAAAGCTGTGTTCACCCTTTCAACGCAAATGTACACAGCTAAAAAAATATTTCGAACATTTTTCATAAACTGCAATGTACATGAATTTCATTAAAGTCAAAAATAATCACTTTGGAATGTTCGTTATTAAGAAAGAGTTATTTTTCCATCTATGCGCTATACTTCATTTTATATAAACAAAACATGTATAAAATGTTTAATAGTAAACGAAAATTAGTATAAGTGAATATATGTAAATTAATAACTGTGTTATATACTGAATCATGTACCTGTGAATGGAAAGTTAGTATCTGTTATCCATGACCGTTACAAGTTAGTTAAAATACGTTTTGTGAAAGAATGGATAAATTGATCTAATAATAAGCATTAGTACGTAGGTCTACTTATCGAGTGTTTGTTGACTATTAATTCGAGTGAATAAATTGTATGTGAATAATGTATGTATGCAAATTTTTAATCTAGAAAAGAAAATGATATTGCAGAAAAATTATTTCGAAGGTTTGAACTAATAAGTATCCCATATAAGTATTTCTAAAATAAAGAAATTTTACACTTATTTGTTGCTTGAAGAAACTGCCCCTATTTTGATCTCGCGTATGAAAAAGTTTTAAGTAGTCACGGTTTAAAGCTAGTTTTTGTTTAACAAATAAACAACGCTTTGGTAAACAAATCACTATTGATAATGCTGGAATACAGATATCACTATGATTAATAACAAACGATCTGTATTATACAATTAAAAAATTTATGAATTTCTGCGAATTACAGAATAGACTATATCTGATTACGAAATTTTATACTTTGAAATAATTACATATCATTACGAACTTTCCGAACAGTAATTTTATATTTATTTTGAATCAAATTTTATAGATTATATATATATTAAAGAATATATGTATTCTTGCACTATGTTGATGAATATATTCGTACTACACCAGGTGGTTTACATATGTATAGTCTAACAAGCTATTTTTTTTTCACCACCACAAATATCGATTTCATTTTGGTTAATTAAAGAAACAGGAAGGTTATGTATTTAGTATAAGCCAAATTATTTTAGAAAAATAAATTAATCTATCTAATTAAATTAAATTTAGGAAATTAAACCAATTTTTCAGAACATTCTGTATAAAGAATTATTAACGCATAATGCTAAAAGATCAATAATTTCTGAAACATTTTACATTTGCAAATATGAGATTTGTACCAAAATTAACTTCATAAATTATCCTATTCTTGAATACAATACTTTAATATCTTTTAATACAGAATGTTCTACAAAATTGATGTGTATAATAGACATTACCATTCTATTTAGACAAAGATAGAAAGGATCTTTTTGGTTTACTATCAATTCATCTAAAATAACGTTCTATTTTCTCTGTCCAAGTTAAATAAATACAAAAAAGAAACAATTATTTGCTGCAGTATTAAAGAAAATGACTTGATACATGTTAGTAATCTATATGTAGGGCTTGTAACCAAATAAGTAAATTAAATTTTATATTTTGTCATACGATACTATCTTAACATCACATTGTTTTGTACTACAATGTGTGGATCTAAAATCTTAAAATCATTTGTGTAAACTTAATCACTATTTAATCACAATATCAGGAATTTTGTTGTAAAAGATATGATGTAGTACATGTATATGAAATTATTATCAATAATAATATTTACATATTTTCATTAAAGCGGCACTGTTGTCATTTTTTATGAAAATTTTCAAGATGTGAATCCAGAAGTATCTTTTTATGAAAACAGGCAAAAGATACAAAATTCATAGTCTGTATTTGAAATCAACCAAATGATAATTTAAATTCCGCCTAATTTCATTTAAATTATACCATATTTTGAGATTGTGTGAGCACTTTGAACTTCAAATAGCAATTTATTAATAAAAATTGAAGCACATTATTTTTGAGTATTTGTTCTAAATTAGTTAACTCAAAAGCAAAATTGAATAAAAGAAGTTAATAAAAAGAACCGAGAATAAGAGAAAAAGTTAAAAGTTTAAACGCCTCCATTACTTAGTTTACAAGAGACAGCGATGGCAATGCAAAAATCAGTAACATAATAAATTAATCAATGAGTTTTATTATATTATTGAAAACATATATGAAATCAACTTGATAATTCAACATTTTTCACTTTCTTGAAATTACAGATTTTTCTACTGTCAATAATTATTGATCTCGTAATTATAATTATGTTATGATTTAAAATTAAGTTTCATTTCATAAAAATAATATTTAGTATTTCGTGTGAAATAAACCGCGGCGCATGTGCATTACTTCGCCAATCATAAGTTGTTTAGGAATACTTCCTCTCTTTTGATTGACTGGTTCAATCTTACCGGTTTCGATGAGACTGCGTGTTCCCTCCTTTTAATTCGTAGGACCGTGATTGGTACAGAATACCTGGCATCAAAGTTACGAAACGATGGACTTGGCGCGGAACGATACATTTTTATATGAAATATTGCAAGATCAAAATGATTAACATAATTT